TTTTTTTTTTGCACAAACAACCGGAGTGGATGCTAGGGGTGCTGATAGGACTGACGCTCCTGTACAAGAAAGGGGCGAGGACCAACATTAGGAATTATCGACCCATCACCCTGCTAACAGTCGTCTACAAACTGATGGCAAAGGCCCTGGCCAACCGAATGATGTCAGTCATGCCTATCATCATACATCCAGACCAAACTGGCTTTATTCAAGGAAGGAACATCCAGGATAACCTCCTCCTGGTCAACGAAGTCATTAAGCTAACACGACAGTCAAGGAAAAACGCAGCAATCATTTTTATCGACTTTGAGAAAGCATATGACGACTGGTTGTTCCTCAATAAATGCCTAGAGAAACTCAACTTCGGTCCGGCCTTCAGACGGTGGGTCAGGATCCTTCACACGAACGCAACAACTAGAGTGATGGTGAACGGGAACCTGGCCCCACCCATTCAGCTCCAGCGATCAGTAAGACAAGGCGACCCTCTAGCCCCATATTTATTTGTAATAGTAATGGAGGCGTTGACAGCCAACTTGAGGAAACACGGGAGCATCAGAAGAATACAAATATCGTCAATACCGCAGGAAGCAGTTCCGGTCTGCTCTCTTTTTGCAGACGACCTCACAGTAATGACGGAAGCCTCCCACGAATCGATGACTGAAGTCCAACACATGATGGACCGCTTCTGTAGATTAGCAGATATGCGAGTCAACTGGGGCAACAAAACCCAGGGCTGGTGGATACACCACCAAGGAGTAAGACCCCCAGAAGAGCCCCGCATAAAATGGCTCCCAAAAGAAGCCCCGATCAGGGTGTTGGGGGTGCTCATGTCGGCAGAGGGGAGGCCGACCACTAACAACGAATGGATTTCAGGCCCGTGTGATGCGCAACCTCACGCCCTGTGCTGTCTTTCGTTCGGAGTGTTAGCTGTGCGGAAAAGAGGCCCAGAAAAACAGCAAGATGGGGTGTGCCAAGGATTTTTGGAAATTGAGTGTGGGGACACAGACGGAACTGAAATCCCCCGTGTTGGTCCGATGGAGCAAGTCGATCCTTTTCGCGCGTCGCAAAATGCGCGCGCGGTAAAGCGGAAAGAGAGAGAAAGATGCAAATTCAATCCAAAAAGTATTATCGTGCCTCCCACCGGGCTACAGTCCGTCGTTTAGAACAGAAAGGCTTGGGCACGCTTCGCGTGTCTCGTTTTCGTATCAAATCTCGTCGTCGTTCGCTGGTTAGTTCTGAGTCTGACGTGGAGGGTCTCAGCCGCGTGGCTCTTTCTTTATGCTTGTCTTCGCTCCGCACACGGTAGTGAAAACCCCTGGACTCGTAGCGCTCAAAACGCTGACATTCGGTGCACAGAGTGCGCAGCCAGTGGGGTTCTACTGCCGTCCACGGAATGACAATCAACTCGTTAAATGGCAACAATACCGAGTAAGGTGGGAAGTGTGTATCGATAATAACAAACCCGACTTCTACAAACCCAGAACAGCGGTTGGCCGGAGGGAAGTAATACTGCCCGCCGATTTGTGCAATGGCTTCTCGTACGTCCCACTCACATACAAATGTCTTTTCCTCACTGTAAGGAAAAGGCCGCGTTGGGATGAGAGATACGGGAGGCTGGCGCCCAATCGAAGGGTACTTGTCAGTCCACATGTCAATCAATCACAAAATATCCTGAGACGTCATTAAGAACAAAAGCGATTCGCGTATCCCCCAATCAATCTTTTTGACACAAGAGAGAGAGCAGACATAGATCAGCTTGATCACGCATATGGCTACGGGTCCGATCAATTCAACACAACGTAGGTCCCTGGGCGCCTTGTTTCTCAGGGCCGCCTCGTGGCTCGGCTGCTGATGTCGTGCAGCATAAGCCAGATGGCATGCGTAGTGCAAACAAAGCTACAGATCTAAACACTCTTGCATTCTCGAACAAAATCCCGACGACAATCGTCTAATCAACAAAAGAGTCACATATTCCATACATGCATTCACTGTGGAAGGTGCGAAAATGAGACATGCACCGGAAAAGATGGATCGCATTGCACAGTGCACACGCATCCACCGTTCACAAGACAAGAAGGCGGGGTCCTTGCGTAGGAGGATTACCCTGGAAACTAATGGAAGAGTTCCGGAAGAAGTTCTTTTACGCAAGGGAAGCGCACAGATTTGCTCCTACTTAGGAGAGAAAGCGAGAGACAATCAATCGAGACACATCACTATTCAAAAGTAGAGAAAAGAGAAGGGGGGGGGGGGGAGAGAGAGAGAGAGTCAAGAWAGGAGATGACCAGATCTGGGAGAGAGACATTCGACATGACCACCATGCACTCACGCCAAAGGTAAAGATCCACAACAACAAAGGCGCATTCGCCGTTAATTCCAATATGGCCCCGGGCCAATTACTCACTCAACTCCAATCATCGAACCTCATACCCGCACCGACGATCCCGGCCGTCGCGCGCTAACTCCCACCACTGCGATCGTCGCCCCGCTGTCGTAAGCTCGACACGGTTCGCTCGGATCCCACAGTCCGTCGTCGCGATCAAGCGCGCAACCGGCCAGCCTATCGTCAGCCCGACAGGACTTTCTGACTCGCATCAACACACTCTGCCTAGCCACTGCTTCTCGAAAGCTGGCTTAGGAGTCGAGAACGTAAGAGAGATTTGCGAACGCGCTTGCGGGTTTTATAGTTGCGACAGGGAAGATAGAAGGGGGAGAAGGCGACAGGAAAGTTGAGGTGTAAGAATAAAAGCAGGAGGAAAAGACTTTGAGAAGAGTGCTTTACGAACGCCATGTTGATCCCTCAAAACTCAAGGTTCAACCAATCAGATTCGTCGCACGATAGGAAGGTCCTATCGATCCATGCGCTTGATTGGTGAGCGGGAGTTATCGGGGGATCGACCGCGCGTCGTTCGCCAGACTCAGAGGGTGAGAAGAGAAAAGGCGCGAGAGGTGGCGCAAGACGGGTCCAAGATTCAGACGATCAGGAAAGGGAAATGGGCGCACAAATAGCAAGGCGGGGGGGGGGG